TGCAGACACAAATAAAAGACAATGAATCGAGGAATAAGTGTAGGAGCAAGTCCATTTGCAGGTGAAAGGGTGTGCCTTTGAAGCAGAACCAGCTGTATTTTCACCGCAAGAATAACAGTGTAGGAAGCTTTTCTGCGTGTGCGTGTTTGATAGCATAATGTAGTCATAAGCGGCTTATGCAGTATTCAGAAAATACAGAGCATTAATGTATAAAGCAGGGAAGGCAGAGGAAGACCAGGCTGCCTGCCACATGATGATAATGAACATGGCCAATATGAAGTAGAAAGAAAAATAGTTTGCTTCTAAAAGATGACCATTGAAAAACAGTCACCAGATAGTCACACGATAATGAACCTGAGCATCCACCAAAACAAAGGCACAGACACAAAGACACAGTCTCCTTTTTGGCAAGAGGTAAAGAATTGGATAGAATAGAGCCAAAGGCAGTTGTCTGGCTTTGTTTGTTTTTACTAAACCAAGCAATTTTTATTTAAAGCTGTGTAATTGTAAAAGAAAATACTACTTTAAGTATGAAATAACTCCTTATATGTAGATTTTATATTGATTTAGAACCTCATATAAATTACTGTATCCTTTCCTAAATGTGATATTAGTAGTGATTACTGATAATGAGTATAGTATTAAAATTTATGATTTTACTAAATATATTGTTTGAGTGTATATATTTTTATAATTATTTGTTTTTTTTAAGGAAAATGATTGTTCTTAAGTATAATTTGTTATTGAATATACACAATGAAAATTTTAATAGTCTTTTGTTAATTCTTTTATAATTCCATACAATTTATTTTGATTGTATTTACCCCCTTTGCTTTTCTTCTCCCTTCACCTCCCTGCCTACCAAACTTCCAGTTTTCTTCTGTATCCACTTCTTCTTCTATGTACACTGACAGTTGAGTTGGGGTCTTTATGTTACTTGTCCTCTAGTGCAAGAGCAAGTTTCTCAGAAGAATGTTGATAGATACACTGACCTATGGGTGTATTAATAAGTCATTAGGAGTTGTTTTAATACTTTCCCATTTAGCAGAATAATAGTATTGACTTCTCCCCATGGACCTATAACCTGTTTAGCAGTAGTTTCTTGATTCCATTAATAATGCTAGATATGGTTTCTATCTATAGGAACTAGTCTTAGGTCCATTCAAAGGTTATTGGTGACTGCCATAATATTTATTCCACCATTGTACCAGTGGTTCTGGCTTTAAACATACAGAATGAAATTATGTCATTTGTAGAAAAAAAGGGATGGAGCTGAAGATTATTATGTTAAACAAAATAAGTAAGACTTAGAAAAAGATCATGTTTTTTTCCCATGTGCAAAATCTAAATCAATCCATGCACATACATACTCATATACACACATGATTTTTTAGAAAGAGTATCATGGGTCAGAGAAGATGGTTCAGTTGAAAGATACTTGCCACCATGCCTAGTGATTTGAGTTTGATCCCTGGGATCAGCATAGTGGAATAAGAGAAGTGACTCCAGAGAACTGTCATCTGACCTCCACACATACACTATAGCTCAGTAAACACACAGAACAAATAAATGAAGAAAAATTTTTAAAAGAGTATCAGAATTATATTGTAGAAATGAAGTTAAAACAATTGTTAAGACATACAGTTGGGAAGAAAATTCTTATGTGATTATTATTGAGTATGGAGAAATAATGGATTGTGTGCTAAAATACTTACAGCCTTTTGAAATAACTGACAAAGTATCTCTGGCAGGAAGAAATTATTTTGCTTTATGGTTTCAAATGGTGTAGTCTATAGATTTTTCATTCTAAGCAAGTGATGAGCTTTCAAGACAAGAGCCTGTCACAGAGACTTACTCACCTGCTGGCTGACAGAAATCAGACTAGGGTCAAGGAACTGGGTCTAACCTTGGAAAGCTTGGCTCCAGTGACCTGCTTCTTAATGGTATATCCAACTTCCTGAAGTGTCTAACATCTCCCAAAATAAGAGCACCGGTTGAGAGCCAAGTCTTCAGTACACATCAAAATGATAACAGAGCAGTAAACTAAGGTCCCCGAATGGCTTTTTCCACAAATAGTATAAATATGCTTATTATATATTTGCATATGATGTATATGTATATTTAACATATGAGCTGGCAACCTATAACTAAAAGCAGAAAAAACTTATGCTAACAAACAAAAATAAGCGTGATCATCTTCACTGCCTAGGATTATCAGTTTATTGTTCCTTATATACAACTTAAGCAACTATCTGAGAAATACCCTGGACATTTATTCACAGTTATTTATTGTTGTTAGTGCTTGGAGATTAAATCCAGGGCCTTGTGCATGGTAAACATTTATGTAATCACTAAGATACATTAGCTACCCCAGTTGTATTATTGACATCCAAATCAAATGCAAGCTTCATACTTCACATATAAAAATCTAAATTAGCTAGTTTCAGTAACTAAGTAAAAGTACTCTAAAAACAAGGATGTAGGGATTTCTATGTATTACAGTTTTCACAGATGTAAAGGTATATGTTTCTGACTTTAAGCCATAAATATCTAATTTTTGTATACACGTGAAGACAACATCTGTAACTACAGCATTAGGAGTGGAAATGCAGGAGAATTGTTGTCTAAGTTTAAGGCCAGCCTGGTCTACATAACAAGTCACTGTCAGAATTTTTTTTAAAAATGGGCCAGTTAAAAGTTTGTCTGACTATAATACAAAGATATAGTTTGAGTTTCAAGAAATTAGTAGACGCCCTGTGAGTATTCTCACTGTAAAACACAGTGCAGTATGTGGTGGTGTATGTCATGGACCAGAAGGTGAATGGAAATTTAATGCCAGATGTGTTGTTTGGAAATGTTCCAGATGCATACTAATTTTAATAACATCCATTTCAAATGCACTTTTAGATGTTTGTATCCACCTCAATGATAATCCAGAAGTTTTGTTCTGTAAAAGACTCTAGGTGCAACAGAGAGCTTAACCAGTGGTCTTATGGCACCACAAGTTGGATGGCAACTTGTTCCATTGACTCTAATACCTATATGCTGTATGTTATGATGGAGCAGTATACAAAATAATGAATATTACTTACTAGTCATCATTCATACTTGTTTTTCTCCATTTTAACTTAAGATTTTTATGAGGCATATACAAGATGAGTGTTTTCTTTCTGCTTGTGTCTGTGACCTTCACATTTGTTTTCAGATTTTCATTAGAAATGTGCTTGGTAACCGTATTGGAGAAGTTGTGTCACCACTTTCATTGTTCTGAACTGTTTATATCTCAGCAGGAATAATACAAGAATAACTTGACTGTTGAGATGTGAAATCAGAATGAATACTTGTCAAGATTTTTCTTTTTTTCAGCATAATGAAATGTTACTAATTTAAAGTGGGTCAGAATCATGTTTTTATGCTAATTATTTATTTAAATTTAGAACATCTGATATGCATTTTATACAATCAATTCTTTTATGCATCATTAAACCCCATCAACAAATGATAGTTACTAAGCTTCTTTGGGTAAATTCAGAGTGACTGCTCCCTAGCAGTGTGAAAACACGCTGGAGCCTTTGAGCCAGAGGAGAAACACTTGCATGTGTCCAATGAACTCAAATGTAGCACTTCTCCATCACTACTGTCAATTTACCTTCTCTGCTATTTCTACCTCTAAAAGACTATGTGAAAGTATAAAGGTACTTTTGAATCATTAGCAGACACATTAAGAAGCAGATGTATTTCCCATTAAATTTTTATGACATACTTAAGATCAGCTGCTTTCACACATTTGAATGTGAGTAACATGGGGAATTTGGAACGAAACATTGCATCATTTAGATAAGGAAAATGTGTGGATAAGCTCTGGAAACTGGCCTCTGAGAAGGAAGGGGTGAGGTGAGAGTCAGAAAGCAGAGTGAGGCTATGAAATACACAATGCAGCCATGTTAACTGCTGGTAGAATGCTACGTTATAGTTTTGTACCTAAAACTATTCCTACTTGTTTCCTCTAAGAGAATTTTTTAAAGTACATGTTTTTCTTGATAATACTTTTGTTGTGAAATCTACACTTTTTTCCTGAGGCTGAGGACTGCTTCTTTTGTAGCTTGTCAGTGAGGTCACTAGATGGTATACCAAAACCAGAAATTTTGTGACACTAACTCAATGTTGCTGTTTTATTTTATTTTATTTTTTGGCTGTGAATGTGGCAAAAAAGATTGAGTGTCATATCTAAATGTCACTATCCTCTGTCTTACTTAGTCATGACTGTTCTGTCCTCTAGTAAAAGGAAAGAAAGTTAGATATATTTTGTTTTAATGAATTTAGGAAGTTTAAAGTCAATTGCTTATAGATTCCTCTTTTACTGTCAGAGAAAAATCACCAAGTATTTCTTAAGTTAATCATTTGAATATTAATGTATCCATGGTATTATTTTTTTTTGGTTTTATGAGACAGGGTTTCTCTGTATTGTTTTGGAGGCTGTCGGTCCAGCCTGGCCTCGAACTCACAGAGATCCTCCTGCCTCTGCCTCCTGAGTACTGGGATTAAAGGCGTGCGCCACCACCGCCGGCCTCATGGTATTAAATTTTAACAGGAATTATTTTTTAGTTGCTAAGGCAATTAATTTAATGAATGATTATATATAATTATATAACTATGCATACATATTGTTATATATATTCATATAATTGTACATATTCACTTACTAGTACCTTTATTTAAAAAATATACACTTATTGTGAATATCTTATTCTCAAAAATAAAAGTCATGATTTTGTTTGGACATTCTGTGCATCAAATCAAGATGTCTATGAGAGTCACCCTCTGAGAAGAATCTAAGGATACTGATCTATGAGTGATGTTTATGGTAATCACACCTGTGAATTTCCATGTAGTTCTCTTCCCATGTTTTATTTTATGTAAACATTCTTTGACATTTTATAGGCTACTGTGAAATTTGAATTTACATAAGCATAACTCATTGTCTAAAATTTTCTTTCTAGGTAAACAGGATTATAAAAAAACCAAACCTATTTTACGTGCAACAAAATTAAAAGCAGAAGCAAAGAAAACTGCAATAGGCATAAAGGTATACTTCTGTTTGATAAAGTTATAATTTGATGTATATATACAAGTTCATTTAATACAACTGTGTTGTGTGAGTGTTGAATTCTTAACATCTTAAGCTAGTTCAATCTCAATAAAGTTTCAGAAGTGAAGGTCTTTGTAAAATAATTTACTTATTGGAAAACATCATTTATATCTAGAAATTTTTAGGACTCTTAAATAACAGTTATAAGGTATATAGTATCTAAAGTGCATAGAAAACAAGTTTCTCCTAAAGCTCTTATTCTAGCTATTATAATGGCTGTACAAACCATTCAATCATTAACGTGGCTTAGTCAGATCCTTTGACACAAGAATCTCACTATATATTTGTTTTATACTTTTTTCTTTCTATCTAAATTAGAAACAAAGTTGCTTTACATGTCAATCCCAGTTCCCTCCCATCCTCCTCCACCCCCCACCAACCACCCTTAGTAAGATATATTTATTTACATTGTCAGAATACAAATGTCTTTTTATTGTCTAGAGGTCTGTATGATTAAATCCTAATGATATTCTCAAACTTGTCCTTTTGGCAAACCAGTGTTTATCTGCTTATGACAGATAAGTGCAACTGAGAATTATGTTAATGAATATTAGTTCAATGTGCTATCAAAACCAAAATTATTTTATTGTTGTTCATCTCAAATGCTTACCAAATATTTAGAATGAAGTAAACTAGTTAGGAAAATCCATTTGGAACCAATACTACCACGTGTGTAAAGCAAAACGACCAATACAAATATTTTATTTAAATATTAAACTGTTAAAAGAAGATTTGGGTTTTCATCTGGCAGATAAAAAATCAATTTTTCTAAGTTATAGCTTATAACAAATGCCAAGGTATTACCAGCAAGCTGTAACAGCTGTTGAACTGCCAGATGATATATTTGGTTATCTTCCAGAACTTGCTATTATGATTTGAAACCCTGCCTTCCTTTTGCCCCTGATTGCTGATTGCTGTGTTATGATATGCTGTTTTCACAACACAGTCCCCTCAGTTAAGGTTGTGTGGCAGGTCTTAATGAAAAAATAGTTTTTGTTTAAAAGTGATTTATCTTTTTAGTTTTTTATAATCCACTTGTAAAAGATATTCTATGCCCTGGGTTTTTAAAAAGCAATGCTTAGCTTTTATTTTCTGTTTGGTCACATGGTGATTGACTCTTATAATAGGGACAACTTTAACATTATCCTCCAAGGCAACAGTTAATATTTGCTTTTATGTATCACAACATACTAGGGATTTATCAAGAAACTATTAGTAACAAAATATATCTCTAGCATACTTTAATGAATAGTTATATATTAAGATTATTGAAATAATGAAGCCTTTCTTATATACTACACTTTTATGTACCCCCTATATTTAATTTGCCATTGCACTTTTGGTTTTGCTTTGAGGAAATAACTATGTTCTGATTATAAGTTAAAATAGTATACAGTGCTAGTAGCTAATATCATTTTAAAAACTATAAAGAATTACCTTTTCTTAGCTTTCTTTGCAATAAAAGTATACACTGAATAGTGTCTAATATTAAAATATAGAACTTTTTTAATAGCCTAACATAATGTTCAGATTGGTAAGCTCTGAGAAACAAAGAATTTAACTACTATTTTCTTTGCATAAAAATGATTGTTCAAAGGCCATACCATGACATGACACTTAAGAATCAGAACTGTGAAGGTGCCTTGCGTTTCAAATCTACCATACTATTTGGTTTGCCCTGTCAAACTTTGAGTGCATTGTCATTTTGCCATAGGATTTTAAATAACAGAGTTTCCTTCAGCAATTCTCTTTTAATGCTTTTTTATTTCCCTGGTGAGTGATTTTATCCATATTGATAATGTCAGAGAAGCAACTGAGAACTAATGAATATCAAACATGTTTGACTCTTATCTAGTTGATACAGGATGACCATAATGTTGTATTGTTACTACTTTACTACCTTTGAGTGAGTCAGAGTTATACTCTTTAAATAATATGATTCTACAGAAAATATGAACAGGTGCATGGAATACAAGAATAACACCAATGACAACAAAGATGAGGATGCCATGAAAGGCCTGAAATCACATCTCTTGTGGCCCTCACTGTTAGCATGAGTAATGTGACTAGATCTGGGAAGAGGTATTCGTAGTTGGAGACTGCATCCTTCACCTCAGAGCAGTCAACAGAACTAAAGTAAAGGGAGAATATAGAGCATTGAACTTACCACATCTAAGGCGTCTGTGACTATTAAGTGTTAGGGAAAACAAAAAAAATCACACATTTTTAATATGCTTACTATGAAAGTCATATCAGTATTACTTAATCCAGTTGTACTTACAAATTGCTATAAGCTATTACAATATTATAGAACCTCTGGAAAGAGATGTGTAAGATGTGATTGTCTTCAAAAGAGTGTCCTGAAATCACCTCCAGATTGAATTACCATGTTAAACCATGTGCACTGAGCCTTGAGATGATGAGTTGCAAAGTAGGCATTTGTCCTTTAAGGCTTCTGGCACCTTGTTCTAAATATACAGTTGAGTAGTAGAAAATGTTTTGGAGGAACAATGAATGGTTTCAGCTTAAAATAAATTATTTTATTGAAAATAATTTTATACAATATATTCTGATTATGGTTTCCCTTCCCCAACTCCCCCAAGATCCTCCCCATCTCCCTTCCTATCTGGATCCATGCACTTCTGTCTCTTGCTAGAAACCAAACAGGCTTTTAAAGCAAAATAATAAAATAAAATAAGACAAAACAAAAACAGAAAAACTGGAATAGAACAAAAGAAACAAGCAGAAGAAAAAGAATCAAAGAAAAAGCATGAGAAACACATATAGAGACACATTTGTTGTACATATCACTAAAACTCTTATAGAATGCGTATACCTGTGTTCCCCAACATATAGAAGGATCCAGGTCTGCGTTTACTGATTTTAAATGTCTATTAGAAAATATAGTCCTCATAAAGAATAAGGATAGAAAACTTAGCGTCTCCACATCAATCAAATATTCAGTGTCAGGCAGACCTTGCCAGCATCCCTTGGGAGGAACAGCTTGAAAAGTTGTTCTTTTTGTTATTTCTGGTTTAAATCTGAACAGCGGCCAAATCACAGAAAGGGAGTCATATGCCTACAGGTGTCTAAGGTTGTAGTTACAGCCTCCAGCACCCTGAAAGTTTCAAGATTTGATTGTGGTATGGAACTTCCAGTAACCCCCCCCCATGGTATTTGCCTCTACCAAACAGCATTTTGAAGGAAAGTGTTTGTGACATCACCCTCGGTGTTTTAAAAGTCATTTGCTTGTCATACACAGACCAGATAGCACTGAAGTACTGAGGTTTTTCTACGTATAATCTCTACTTTTTATCCTTAACATTCTTCTGAATACCTCTAAATATCCTGAACACATTTCATGAAGGAATGACAAGTTGTCTGAAGGATAGTGAATGGAAATGCAGAAATTAAGAGTGGTTATCAGTAAGATGAGAAACACAGCCTTGAACCAAGAATAAAAATTCCATTCTCTCATTGAGCTGATGCAAGTGATGGCTGCTGTTGATTGGTTGTGTGGTTGTGTTGTCCACTCTACAAAGCAGATGGAGTTTGTGGTCGTGTCACTTGTTTATTACCTCCTCTTAAAATTAGTAGCCGTTTAACCAGATGGGCCTGGGAGCACAGCTGTGGCTATGGGAAAATAAATGAAACCTGTCTCTTGCTGCCATGCCCTTTGGAGATGCCAAAGTGTTCCAGCTGTAACAAAGAAAAATTCACTTTCACTTGACAGTACCTTGATATATTAGATTTTCAAAATCAAGTCCCACAAAAATTATTGACACAGTTTTTCACAATGTACTTTCTATCAATATTTGTTTGCATAGTTTGGTTATCTAAATAGATGTAATCAAGATACTGACAATCTGTACATAATGTGTTTGTATTTTCAACATTCAACTGAAATTTCATGTTGATTATATGTCAAATTGATTTCAATATTTTTTAAAGTTTAATAGGTGGCACATGTTGAATTATTTATTTTACATTCATATGAAATGTAAAATATATTCATACAAGTGCAAATGAATTGCTTCCCTATGAAACAATGCCAGGTAAGAAATATAATACAAAAGCGAAATCAGTAGGGTATTTTAAATTCCTTTGGAATCTTAACTGAACTCTGTTCTTTTTTCTGTGCAGTAAACTAACATGTCAATGTTGAAAAAGTTACTTTGTAAAACAGTCATACACACACATACATATATACAAACACTGATATTTTTGAACGAAAATGTACTTTTATCATAAGTTAAATTTTACCCATTGCTTAATATAAATGACTAATATAACCAACATCAAAATACCAAAAGTAGTATACAATCCCTGTCTTCAGAGCTAAGATGAATCACACCAGCTTTATACCTCATGAGTTCAGAGTTCATTTTTGTACCTCACAATGCAAGTTATAAAGGTTAGAATTCTAAAAAGTAGAATGTATAGCCAGGCATGTTGGCACAGAACTGCAGTTCCAGCACTTCAACTGGAGACTGAGGTAGAAAGTGCAGGAACTGGGAGCCAGGCGCATCCATTAAGAATTAGTGAAAAAGAGGCCATGCATTTGAAGGAGAACAGGGAGGGGTATATGGGAAGGTTTTGGAGCAGGAAGGAAATGGACACATTTTATAATTCTATTATAATCTCAATAAAATGAGTGTGAACATTATGTTTGTATAGGATCTATTTTGTGGAATCAGTTATCATGGACATTTCTTCACAATGGAAAATAGAATGTTAATTTGTAAAATATCTTCTGATAAATCATATCATGAATAGATAACACAATACTTAAAATAGTTATATGTACTCAATTAGAAACCAATTCAAATATTTAGGCCAAACTACATTGATTAAATTTAAAATTTTGATGACAAATTTAAGAAAATATATTAAAACAATAAATTTAAATTTTATCACCAGAAAAATCTTAATAGAAATGTCTCGCCCACTATGTTCTTGCTCTTGCAATATTTATGCTGTTATGAAAAATAGATTACTTACTAATAATTGTTGAGTTGACATTATTTAGCATACAACATGGAGTGATAGTTATTGTATCTGAAAAAGCTGATCTTCTTCATCAGCTCAAGTGTACTGTTTTCTCTTCCCCAGGAAGTCGGACTCATGCTTGCAGCCATCCTGGCCCTACTACTGGCTTTCTATGCTTTCTTTTATCTCCGACTGTCCACGAATATTGACTCTGATCTGGACCCAGATGAAGATTAGCTGAGCAGCAATCAATGAAGGAAGGGGAACAATTATGATAAGAGCGCCCTTAGGGACAAATATTTTGCCGATTTCCAAAACTAGAACGTTTTGAATATTTTCTCCTTTGTACTGTCAGTTTGCAGAAATATCTTTGTACCTAGTGGCATGAAGTATCTGGAGACTTTACCCAGCAATCTAGAGTCACACATGCTACTTGATACTTTGTAAATCATTCTGCTCTGGCAGATAACCTATTCATAATACAGTTGAATAACACAGTTTTCAGATGTCTTCTCAGTTTGCATGTATATCTCAATTACAAATCACTAAATCTATTTTATCCTATGTAAATTGTAAGAAAAAGTATCCATTGTCATTTAAAGAAACATACTTCAAATCATATTCAGAACCTAAGAATGGACCAAAAGTGATGGGAAATTTTTATTTTATGAAGAAGCGTGCTTTCTTTGCAGACATATTTTATTTCATTAGGGAGACTTCCTGCACACACATCCACAGAAATCTTTTCCCTCCTTGCCAACTGTTAGTGCACATGTGCTGCATCAGAAATGGCACCTGGATGACAGAGGCTCAAAGAGTCACATATGTCTCTAAAGCAGGCATCCTTTTCTCTTGGGCTGCCTGAACTGGTATAAATAGAAAGTTCCGTTGATCTTGATTTTAATTAACTTATTACCCCATTAATATAAAATTGGAATTCTATATTAATTAGGTTGTTCTGGCTGCCTGCAGTATCAGTTTGCCTCTCTTGTTAGGGAGATGTGTAACAATCTGCCATTTAATTGTGCAGGGTTTTTCACACTGCAGAATTAGCAGGATGAACCTATACAAAATCATTCTACTGCATTGTCTCTTAAATCTGAGCATTAAAATGGCTTTTTTAAAATTAAATTTTGTCTCTTGAGAATTAATTCCCACTCTGTAGCAAACAATAAATAGCAGAAAATATGTCACATGTTGCTTTTATCTGTACTTTTCTGCAATTTCATCAATGTCTTTTGGTTGTAGCATAAAGACTATTCAATATTTTATCAGCAATTAGAGTTTTATAAAACTGTGTATAATCTCCACCAAATTGATATATCTATCTGATATAAAGATGTATAGAAAATGTATATTTTGAAATATGTGCAAAGTTTTAGAGTGTACATTCACTTTCTAAAAAAATATACAATTTTAAGATGATTTCGATACTTGCCAGGAGACAGAAACTCTAATAAAATTCTAGGAGTAATTCTGGCTTTGTAACATAGTTTCTTAAAGGAACAGATATTCCTTGGTACTTTTGCAAAAAGCTGAGTATGTCAGTGTAGCATTTGTTCTGTACAATTTTTTAAATAGCATAATTCATTCCATCAGTGTGAAATAGCCTAAGGTTCCAATATCCTCACAGATTATTTATGCCAAACATCTGAGGGCAAAATTTAGCCAGTGTTATTTGCTGGATTCTTCCTGTTGAACTCACATACTCTAGACACAGAAGAAGAGTTCTTGTATACTCACCACAGAGGACCCATCCAAGTGGCATTTTTAGGAAAGGTTGCAGCATTTTATGCCATGTGGTATGTCTGTTCGCGAAGTGGGAGGCAAGGGAATATCCAAGCTGGCATTTTGGATTTGATGGGCCTTTTACTTTCCTGAGTGACATGCCACATGTCAAGAAATACTGCTTTCTTCCAGTCTCATCACATTTACGTGAGCAAATTTCATTTAGTTATTTCCTTCCCATATGGTGTTAAAAACAGTCACATCCAATAAAGCTTATTTCTGATTTTCAGTGGTAATTGAAGTGAGAGGATATGTAATAATTGCTTATCAAATACCTATCCCGGTTAGATAGTAGAACAGTTCACAGTGTTCAAAATAGATGTGTGCCTCCTGCACATGTCTGACAAGACAAGTGGCTGTTCTGAGAAAAACTTCGCCTTTCTGTTCTACTCATAAGTTGTGCTTTGAAGAGAAAATGTGGTTTCTATAATAATAAATATTGGTTGAAATGTACTATTATAATAAGCAAGTTTCACCACCTGAATTTCTCCATGTCCTGGGTCCGTTTATATAACTGGTTGATATATGACATTCCCAGAAAACAAATCCCAGACGAAAAGCTTTGATTTCAGTAAATAGCAGGTAAAGCAAGATGATAATATTTTTGTATAATTCTGTTTTCATAAAATGCAAATTTCATGAACTCACATTAGCGGGAAACAGCCAATTCTATGAACAGAAACACCAGGCTGAGTGTCTAGTTTGAATATTTCAAGACAGAAAGATGTTAGCTCCCTGCTGTTTAAGAGGACTACACTTTTGATTAGTGAGTAACATTTGTCATAAATGTGGGATTAGAATCAGGTGTAATGTTTAGACATGGTGATATTCACCGTAATAACTTACTCTGCTCAGAGTGATGAAGAACAAAATCAGAAGACATTATAATGCCCTTTTGGTTTTCTTTTGGTATTTTTTTTAATTTTAAAATTTCATTTTATATTCCAACCAAAGTTCTCCCTCCAAACCTTTCTCCTACCCCTCCTCGCCTTCTTTCCAGCTCACCTGCATCCATCCTCCCCTATGCAAGGGCTTCCATGGGGAATAGACAAAGTTTTTGGAATCCCTTAGTGTTGTAATGTGGTATAAATTCCCCAAAAGGGCCAGAGAGCTAAGGTATAACCTATGAATAGTTGTGAATGAGGAGCACAGGTTATTATTTCCCATGTATGTTTAGATAAAATCATTTATATTTATTTGAGGAGCAATATTGTAAAAATATAACATCATTTAATATTTCTTCCTAAACCAAGAAAAACCAATTTTAATGCAAACTATAGGGTGTTCTGTTTTTCGTGTGCAAAATATATCAAGTGTTTATGAAGAAGTTTCGACTTCTTCATAGGCTGATGACATACTCTAACCCCAAACAATGATGGTGAGATCCTCAGAATATGAGTTCTCTTCTTTTCGTCATTCCAGTATATGTTTATCTGTCCATGGATTTACATGTATGTAAAAATTGGCTTAGTGTATTTTAGTTGCCTCAGAGAGAATTATTAATATAGTAGATGATAAAAGTTATTTGAATTTAATAAATTAATCTAAATGCATTGTTAATCAACCCAGAATTTACCATTTATGGTTGTCAGCCGGTGTTCTGATCTTAACAACTGCTCCAAAGGCAACAATATGAAATAGAACCGTCCATTTTTTTGGAAACAAATGCATATTTATTTAAAAATATTCTTAGCATTTCACGTCAACTTACCATACGTATTCACTTCAAATGAAAAATAAAATTAAATTTTTATTCTAATATTTATGTGAATACTAAAGCACTCAATCTTCTAAGCTGTAAAGGTGTGTACTCAATTACAATTCATTGAAGTGAATAGTACATTGGATCATCTTCATAAATCAATGCTTAGGAATTAAACATATTTCCTTTTTAATGTACTGCATTTGTAACAGACTTTTGATCCAAAAACTACTAAAGCTAATTCTTTCCCTCTCTTAGCAACAGTGAGACTTCTTTAGACTTACCTGAGGCTTCTCTGGGGGGCGCTTCCTGCTTCTCCCCAGTTGCATTGCCTTCTTTTATTGGCACTGCAATGTAGCCTGGATAGAATGATGCTAGCTAGATGTTGTCCCACTGACACCATGTCTAGGATCATTCTAACTTTCAGTAAAAACAAAATTGCAGAAGATGAATCCAACACCTATAGGAACGTTCTCACCATTTTCTCCAGTTGTAGTTGCATAGGTAAGTACAAAGGAGGGTTGGAGAGTCTTGTGAAGCAGTGTACCACTTCTTCATAGCGGTTCAGAGAATATTTTAAAACAATTGAACTGCAGCAATATTCTGCATAGTAACGCCTCGTTACACGATTTTTCTATCCTTAGCAACAGATATGGGATGCTTATTTCAAGAAAAATAAGTTACTTTACATGCCAGAAGATTTTTGATGACAGTACCCCCTCCTATTTTTCATTTTTTAAAACAACAACCAAATTGGTGGGGAGGCAGCCAAAATTTGAGGTACCAATGTTTCTCGAACAGATGTCGCACCATTATTTTTTAGCTCGTTTGGATGAATAAACATGTGAAACTGTGAAGTATTACATTTTAGATTTTTTTCATTAAAAAAAGAGACAATCTGTTTACTGTCCTAATTGAGACAACAATCCTCGTGGTTGCCAGTTTTGGCAGTCATAACAATGAACTATAAATATTTGGACCAATCAAGTAAATGGTGAGTATAAGGGCTATAGCATGTGTAGAGTTCTATTTTCACGGGCACTCCTCTTAGTAGGACTTTAAAAAAAAACTTCATTAAATAAAATTGTTTGTGTGGAGCTAAAGTTTCGCGATACAGCTAAAAGAAGTGAATTTCAAGATCTAATTTCATCCTTGTTTGTCAACCTCTTCAGTGTACAGCTGTCCATCTGCTGCTAACAATTTGTGCCTGCAGTTACTCTGCTAAAGGAGAAGGGCAGGTTCACTGTTTCCCTTCCCAGTGAAAGTGACCAAATGTGATTTTTCTTAATTTTCTCATACTTATAAAAAGATTGCACACATTTTATGTCTCAAATTGCAGCAATTAGATTTATCCAGGCTTTAGAGATAGAAATTCTGTTTATAATTTTTGGTATCATGAGTAAAAGAAAGGAAGCCATAACTCTCACTCCTCCCATGATGCTTTACTTGAAACAGCAAAGTGGGAAAGTGATTCGACTGATTGGAGAGCTAGCTATGGCAATAGTCCAGTCGCTTGTGTTCCAAAGAGAGTTCTTCAAGGGAATCTTGTTTGTGTTCTCTATCTTCCTCTTCTGACTTCTTACCTTTAACCCTGTTTCCTTCATTCTTCACTTGAGAAGTTTCTAACATCCTTTGGGGTGTTTCTTTCTTTTTTCTTTGACCTCTATGTATATAAACAGTGTGCCTTTCTTATAAGAATGCTGCCTTTTTGATTGATTGGTATTATTTAATTAACTGCATATTACCGAGGCATCATTACTGCAGCTGCAGATGCTATAATTCAGTATTACTTCCTAGTAGCATCTAATACCAAGTCAATACTCAAATGTTCCCAATTGTCTCCAAGTTCTCTGCTTTTAACGGACAACGCATCAGGTCCATAGTACTCTTGATTACTTTTGAAATTTCTAAGCAAATATTTTTGTTGTAATGGTTGTTTTGCTGCCATTAATTTACACGTTCCAGTGATATTGATTATGACTTATTTGGAGTTTCTCATTGTTATTCATTTCTCTCTTCTATTTTTGATATTTTAATGAAATGGGATGGTTAATTATTATACCTAAGCCAAGAGTATTCATAATACTTAATGAGATATATATCTCATTATCTCACTTGTTTAGCTATGATTTATCAGTGAACTCATATGCTACTACTGTGACTTCTGAAATAAAGCTTTCAATTAGTATTTTGTCTGTATCTTTTAGTATGCTATTGTTTGTTTATTAGATCCCTTATCTCTTTAGGCAAAATGTAGTTTTCTGTCATTAAAACAGAAATTAAGTGAAATGTATTATTATTATTATTATTATTATTATTGAGACACTGGATATTTTGTGGGATAAAGCATAGTACATTGATGCATACATACAATTTATAATGAACAAATTGATGTAAAAGCAGGTTTATCTCATTAATTGTGGCATGTATTGGTAACTTTTGTAGTTTTTTAGATTTTTTGAAATACAAAACTACAAAAGTTACCCTAAGAGAGACTCACATGCTCCCCCAGAGAAGAGGAAAGTGGCAAGAGCTCCTGAGCTAATTGGGAGAAAGGGAAGGAGGGAGGGAGGTAGAGAAAGAGAAAGGGAGAAGAGGAGTGGGGAGGAAAACATGAAGGAAAACGGAGGAAGTCCAAGTC